TTCAAGGCTCTGTGCAAGGCGTGGATTTTTAAAGAATATTTTTTCAAGGCTCTGTGCAAGGCGTGGATTTTTAAAGAATATTTTTTCAAGGCTCTGTGCAAGGCGTGGATTTTTAAAGAATATTTTTTCAAGGCTCTGTGCAAGGCGTGGATTTTTAAAGAATATTTTTTCAAGGCTCTGTGCAAGGCGTGGATTTTTAAAGAATATTTTTTCAAGGCTCTGTGCAAGGCGTGGATTTTTAAAGAATATTTTTCAAGGCTCTGTGCAAGGCGTGGATTTTTAAAGAATATTTTTTCAAGGCTCTGTACAAGACGTGGTTTTTTAAAGAATATTTTCTGTGCAAGGCAAGGCTCTGTGCAAGGCGTGGATTTTTAAAGAATATTTTTTCAAGGCTCTGTGCAAGGCGTGGATTTTTAAAGAATATTTTTTCAAGGCTCTGTGCAAGGCGTGGATTTTTAAAGAATATTTTTTCAAGGCTCTGTGCAAGGCGTGGATTTTTAAAGAATATTTTTTCAAAAGGACCAATACCTGAATATTTTTTTTTTTCTTTGTTTCTTACCCCACATCCACTGTCTGTTCAATTTTCTTATATGCCTCTATTTGAGTTTCCATTTCCTCTTTTTGTGTTCTCTCTTTATCTAGCAGCTCACATTCCCGCTGTAACAATTCCATAACATCTTTCACATCCTTTTGGTTACGCTCCAGTTTTTGTTGTAAGGCCATTTGTGTTGTTTCCAATGATTTAATTTGATTTTGCTCAGTCAATTCCTTAGCATCCGTTTCCATTTCATGTTTAAATTCTTTGTAATGTTTTCGCAGTGCATATCGTGTGGCATTGTCAAGTTTTTGAGGTGATCCTGCTGTGTTATCCTGTGACGATAATTAAATAGATTATTAGAAACAATGAAGAAATGTGGTGCTGGGGATAATAAAATGACACACAAAAAACAAAAATGGACAATTTACCTCTTTTGTGAGTACTAAATTGTTAAGTAACTTTTCAATATCAAGCTGCTGCAAAGCAAAACAAATATTAGTGTTGATAAACAAATTAAAAAAGGGAATTATGTACATAAAAGGAAATCAATCATATATATAAATAAAAATAAATACAAACAAGATATAAGCACAAGCTTTATAACATGACTAGAATCAACATGCCACAGTATACCTCATTAGTCGCAGCATTTTCTCCTTGACTATCCGCTCTAGGCACTGACACTGGCAGGTTACCATATTCCAATAGAGTCAATTGTACTTTTGTTCTTTCATCTTCCTCGGTAGCCTCTTTACGTTGGTATTGGCGGACGGGATTATAGATTTCCTAAAGGACAAAAAAACATGGAAATATTAAAAATTTTTTCCCTCATTATAACTCCTATTCAGGCCCTCCTTACTTGTATTCTTTTAATGTGCACTGAGGCCTTGCGTATTTTTTCCAAATTTTGTTTATCACTTTTATACTGATAATGATTGTGAAATTGACCAATTGCGAATTGTTTTAGGCGCATATTACGTTCCGCTCGATTTTCAACCTGTAGAAAAATAAGTCTGCTTTTTAGAAGATTTCTGTAGTATTGAAAATTTAGCTAACATACCGATTTCTTAACCAACCATTGTATAACTGGATGTATACTAAGAAATTCTAAACCTTGTATTTGATGAGGTTCTATGCGAAAAGGACACTTCATTTGAGGCAAAACGGCAACGATTTTTTCCACCAGGGAACTACAATAAAGAAAATTAATTTTAGATATAATGGGAAGATTCTAAGAACGAATCTGTCTGTAATCCGGTATTTGGGGTTCTTATTGAGCAGCATATACACCTACAGAAACGGCCCGAGTCTCACTCGGCCAAAGTCTGTCACATCAGGCCATTGTGTAAAACATTAGGACTACTACAACAATCACAACATCAAATTTTCTATATCTGCCCCCATTTAGATATAGCCCACATACAGTGGTGGCCACAGAATTAAAACATTTACTGTGGTAAACATTTTTTGATCAGCCCTCGATTCGTTTGAAGTATTTTTGAAAATTTTTTAATTCAGAACACTTCGATATACTGCACTTAAGAGATTTAGTGTGGAAATGGAAAATTATTTCATGCAATTTTTCCATAAATAACGGTTTTTATGAAAATACATCGACTTTGAAGTGGCCATATAATTAAAACATTGTGTAATTTTTTACTTTACTGCATTTTTTTTTTAATATTTTTTAAAAAAGCTCTTTAATTTAGTTAAATTATGTAAACTAAGCACCGATAAAATCATTTACTGATAAAAATTTTTGAAAAAAATCTGTAAAATCTATCAAATTGCCAAAAATTTGTACAGTACACCTTACATTCAGAAAATAACCCTTATTATAGAAAATAAAGGTCCGAATGCACCAGAAATTGCTAGAATTAGTAAAAAACAATAAATAATTCTCAAAATAAATAAATATTTGAAATAAAAACTTAAAAAATGGGAATTAACCTAAAGGAACGATTCAATTTCAATAGCCTTTATTGAAGAAGGCCGGAATATTTTTGCAGTATGTGAGGAAATATCGATTGATATTGGCATTTATTACATCAAATCGATTGTTCGAGTAGTACAGAATATATTTTATCAAAAAATATACCAGTCACAACAGAAAGAACAGAGATCAATGCCTATGTTGACGAGTAAAAGATTCCGCCACACAGCAGCATTTTTGATGCTCAACACAAGACTTTAAATATTTGTCAAATTGTAAAATTTTTCTTTCTTTTAGGCTAAAATAGATTAAATGGGCATTATTCTCTCCAAAAAATATTATTTTGGAAAAATATTGTCATGTTCAATAGATTTGAAGGGTCAAGAGTTAACCATCAAACATGCTGCTGTGTACCAGAAACGTTTTCTCGTCAACATAGGTGTTGATCTCTGTTCGTTCTGTTGTGACTGATAAATTTTTTGATTAAATATATTCTGTACTACTCGAACAATCGATTTGATATAATAAATACCAATATCAATCGATATTTTCTCACATACTGCAAAAATATTCCGGCCTTCTTCAGTAAAGGCTATTGAAATTGAATCGTTCCTTTAGGTTAATTCCCATTTTTTGAGTTTTTATTTCAAATATTTATTTATTTTGAGAATTATTTATTGTTTTTTACTAATTCTAGCAATTTCTGGTGCATTCGGACCTTTATTTTCTATAATAAGGGTTATTTTCTGAATGTAAGGTGTACTGTACAAATTTTTGGCAATTTGATAGATTTTACAGATTTTTTTCAAAAATTTTTATCAGTAAATGATTTTATCGGTGCTTAGTTTACATAATTTAACTAAATTAAAGAGCTTTTTTAAAAAATATTAAAAAAAAAATGCAGTAAAGTAAAAAATTACACAATGTTTTAATTATATGGCCACTTCAAAGTCGATGTATTTTCATAAAAACCGTTATTTATGGAAAAATTGCATGAAATAATTTTCCATTTCCACACTAAATCTCTTAAGTGCAGTATATCGAAGTGTTCTGAATTAAAAAATTTTCAAAAATACTTCAAACGAATCGAGGGCTGATCAAAAAATGTTTACCACAGTAAATGTTTTAATTCTGTGGCCACCACTGTATATAATTACGTACGATTTTCATTATTTTATGGATTTTGAGGTGCAAAGAAATAAAAAGTTCGGCCCGGTCCCGAACTTGAGCCTATTTGGCACATACCTTTCAATATTATCCCAGACCGTCTCGACCCATACATAACTTCAGTCCCCCACCTCATCATCCTTACATTTTTTGTCCAATTGTTAAATTCTCATGGAACAGCAGATCCACATCGACATCATAATCACAGCATTCGATGCACCATGTCATGCCACCCACAACCTTATCAAATGCCGACAAACCCTTTATGCAGGCCCGATAATAACCGGCATTTATTAACAAATCAAAGGTTTCCTTTTCCTTGGCAGTGGCATCGGAATCCTCACGGCGTTCCACCTAAAACCAAATTGGAAAAAAACCCATTTTTATCAAGAAAAACAAATCTATCTTTTATTACTCACCTGCACTTCACGCCCCTCAGCATCTAGCCGGGTAGCTAATTTGACATTTGATTTAATGTGTTTGGAAAATATTTCCTTATTGGCCATTGTGTGCTGGGAATCTCTTAGATTATTAAGTAGTTTTTGGGGATTTCCGAATAGATTATCAGCAGCACACTAAACAAAAAAACAAAAAACACATCACCCTGCCTCAAGATGCGCTTTCCTTGAAAAAGTACAATGCCGTTTCTATAAAGATTTGACG